TAGGGACTAAAATTAATATTTAAGCTATATAATATTCAAAGATTTCCTTTGATCGGCATTATGGGTAATGCTATAGGGAGTTAGGGACCGATCGGTCTCCAAGCCGATTGGTCCCTATAGTTTTTTTCTTTTTTTACTTTTACTTTGTAAATTTTAAATTTTAAATTCTAAATTTCACTATTTGTTCCTATAATTTTAATTTTTAAATTATTGAACACCTAAACTTTTTTTTGATAAATGAACACCTAAACTTTTAAATATTAGATCTTAAATCTTAAAGCTTGAAAATATAAACCCTAATACATTAACACTAAATTTGAAAAATTCTAACCCTAACATTATAAAATATATAACCCAAAAAATCTAAATCCTAATAACATAAAATATAGAACTTAACAAATTTAAACCCCAACTCCTAAAATACTAAACCCTAACACCCTAAACACTTAATCCAAAAAAATTTAAATCCTAACCTCCTAAATATTGAACCCTAAAAATTCTAAACCCTAATTAACATAATAAGCATTCAATTTTAAAAAATCTAAATCCTAAAAAATTTAAATTCTTATACCTTAAACCTTGAATCCTAAAATATGATCTAATCCCTAATATTACAATCACTAAACCCTAATACCCTAAATTAAAGTAATCTTGTTTGATTTTAAAAACTTAAATGATATCCTTTAAATATAGGGACTTAAAAATCATAGTTTTATAAACTTGAGGGCTTTTGAATTAGTTACGCCCTTTCTCAGAACCAAAATCAAACGACGTGCCACGTCCGCTCGGCCTTGTGTCGGCATGACAGGCTTCGTCGGCAATAGCATTATTCTATTCAGAGATAATAGCCAGCCCATTAATATTAATAATAAATTAAAGAACGGAAAACCATTCTAGGTTGAAATCAATAAATCCAGGGTTGCTAGAAATTGAAGTTAGGGGCAAAATTGTTGTTTGGACTTGTGAAAATCAAAATGAATTCTATGAGAATTATGACTTATGAATAAGATTAAGACTCTCATTTATGAAAATCAAAATTATACATTTAATTAGATATAGAGAAATTAAAATTCATACTTTTGCTTGTATTTAATTTTCTTTATATAGAAAATAAAGATTTTATTAAAACTTTAAATCAATATTACATCTAAAACTTTATACCTAGGCAGCTATTGTCTAAAAGGAGTGTAACCCACAACATTAGATACATGTCTGAACTATACTAATGATAAATATAGACAATTCAACACAATTTAGGACGGCAAAAAATATATATAAAAGAAAATTAGGTAGATTTGATCTTTTCAAAACTTTAAAGTACGATTTGAAAGTTTTTCGAAAATTCAAGGGACACCCTCATACCCCTCCCTCCAGCCCTGAAAGAGCCCACTTAATCTTTGAACGGTCATACTCCTCCCAGTTCCCTTCCATTCCTCAGTTAGCAACAACATTAGTAAATTATTTCACAAAGAAAAAACAAAAGAAGAAAAAAAGGGAAATTAGCTTTTCTCCTTGCATGCTAGCTTCAATAAATAATTAATAAATAGTAATAATTTCTTGGTTTGACTAAATGTATTTCAATTAATAAACATTCTTTTTTTCCTTTTTAATCTTAAATTACACAATAAGAGATAATCCTCTTATATCCTTTGAATCATCCCACTTGTATACCATACAACTGAAGCTCAAGACCTTTTATTTTCACTAAAAAGAGATTTATCATTAAATTATTTATAAAATCATTAACTATAAATATTATTATAATTAATTTTTTATTTTTTCTTGAAGACTAACAATTCCATATTGTATGAAGGGTAGATAGACAAGTTGGTAATTAAATCGTCTGAAGGGTAGATAGACAAGTTGGTAATTAAATCGTCTGAAGGGTAGATAGACAAGTTGGTAATTAAATCGTCTGAAGGGTAGATAGATAAGTTGGTAATTAAATATTGTCTTACAACATAAACTACTTAAGTTCAGAATTTAAGCCTTAAAATATCAGCATTTAAAACAATTTAATTTCTTTTAAAGTATAGATTTATTTTTTGGTCCATTAAAGGTTATTTGCTTGGCATGGTAGAAGTTTAAACCTCTAATTTTATTCCCAAATCAAAAAAATTTAGTTAATGAATACCAATTCAACCAAACTCATATTGATAAAAGCATAGATTATAATAAAGCCACACTTTTAAAATTATTTAAAAAATTAGTATTAGTATTTAGCATGGTTGTAAAATGCAGGCTCAGGTGGTGACATTCCACCCACATCCACCTCTAGGTGGAAATTCAATGCAATTTGCACTGTCCAAATTAATTAAGCACACTCAAGCACTATAAGGTGTGCTTAATGGCACACAAAGCGCCCGAACAATTTTTTTTTTTTTTTTTTTGCCTAATGAAATAATGTTGTTTAATTTATTATAAAAATTATATTAAAAAATTAAATACCAAATAACTCCCTTAAATTTAACCACCCACTATCGCCTAATGCTTTCTACAACTTTAGTCCCTAGATTCCCAAAAAAACTTGTATTGAGAATTTGCTTACCAATAAAAAACAACAAAGATTACTATTTATAAATTTTATCATTTAAAAATAAAGAATAAAATTATTTCTTCATAAGCAAAAATTAAAAATAGTTTAATTCTTACTTTAAAAATAGAGTTTTTTTTTTTTAACGAAAGTTTATTGAAATGACAAATTTGCAATGATTTTCCTCTTACTCACTTTGTTCTAAGATAATAGATTTTTTTTATTTTATCTCCAAATTAAAGATTTAAAGACAATTTATAATTTTACCTTATATTACCCTTAAAAAATAAAAATAATACGATTTTTTTTTTATAATAAGATGGATAGTTAAAGTCTAGATATAATGATAAAATTAAAGTAGAAAAATATTGTCTACCTTAAAATATGTAAAAATAACCATTATTTTGGAACAAATTATGAAAAAAAAAAACTTCTACAAAGGGAGTAATTTTTACTCTCTATCCCATAATAATATACCTTTTTTATTTGAATAATAGTAGTTTTTTTATATTTTAAGGGAGATAAATATTTTTTTCTATTTTAACCATATGATTACATCTTAATTTTAATTATTCATCCTATCATAAAAAAGACTTTTCATTTTTATTTCTTTTTTAAGGATAAAATAGATAAAAAAAAATAGAAATTGTCCCCAAATATTAAATTATAAGATAAAAGTAAAAAACATGTATTATTTTGAGACAAAGAGAGTACAAGATAAGGTGATAGGCACTTTTCTCAAAATAATATAGATAAATTTTTTCCTACATATGTGCATATATGAACAGGGATCCATTTACACATAAATCTTATACACCAAACTTACACAAAATCTCAATAATTCATTTTTCTATTTTCAATTATTGAGATTTATCACAACATTTTAGGAAAAAAAAGATAATTTTTGTTAATAAATATAAATAAATCTCAACCATTGAAAGTAGAGAGATGAATGGTTGAGATTTTGTATAAATGCAGCATGTAAAACTTGTATGTAAGTGAATTCTTGCTCTATATATATATAGGACAATGATCAATACACTTTTCAATTCAACACACCTCACAACATATATCAATTCAGCCATTAAAAATTGCAGTTTTTAGTTCTCCCACCTTTAATTCAAATTTGAAAATAATAATTTGTTAATAAGTGTGTTGTAAGGTATGTTAAATTAAAGTGTGTACAAATCATTATCCATATATATAGATATATATTATAGTAATGTTATTTCCTAGACCTCTAAAAAATTAAAAGGAAAAACAGTAAAAAACAACATTGTTTCAATAAAGTATTACGAGAAAAAACTAAAATAATCTCATTCTTATTTTAAAAATAATTTATTCTAAATTTTTTCAATGGGAGATTATTGAAATGATGTAATTTGAGAGTAATTTTCCTCCTACATTTTTAGAGGTTTGTTTGGTATTTTTCTAGAGGACATCTCCAAAAACATCATTTTTTAATTAATATTTTTAAAAATCAACTATTGGATTGAAAGCTTTTTTAATGTAGATCATACATATTAATTTTCAAATTGATCTAGTAGGGTTAACTTAGTTCGTTGATTACAAAAATTTAACAATATTAAATATATATATATATTGGTAAATATAATTTCCTTAATCAGAGGGTTTTAATGTTAATTATACAAAATTGAAGTCATCCTCTATTTTTTTTTTTTTTGGAAGATCTATCTAAAAACTCATCTTACAATTAATATTTTTTGAAAATCAACAATTAAATTAAAAGTTTTATGTGTGTAAATCATAAATTTCAATTTTTTAATTAATGTAACTTTTATAACTTTTAATTAAATAAACTATATTTACTGAAAATACTCGCCCACTTAATGAGCCAACGAAAGATATTATGTGGTTCCAAGACGATCACAAACGTTACTAATTAGTTACTTATCCCAAATGTATTAATTAGTTACTTACCCAAAATGTTTAGAAATTAAACTATGTTTTTTTTTTTTTTTACATAGAAAGGTTAACTGTTTAGCATTACAAGGATTTAAACATTTAATCTTAACCTCAAATCAAAATTTTTAAATTAATAGATATCAACTCAATTAAGCTTTTGTTGGTAAAATTAAACTATATTTATATGAGCGCCAGATAATATATAGAAGAGATTGTAGAAAATTAGAAAATTCAAAAAATATTTACAAAATACCAAAAGTGATAAGTAAAAAACTTAACTATTCTAAATGAATTAATACACTAAAAAGATTTATTAAAAATATTTAAATAATTTTACAAATAATTCTGATATTTTAAATATTAAAATATCCTAATTTTTACTCTCTTTTTTTCCTACGTAAAAACCCAATGAAATTTGTCTTACTATTCTTCTATTTATTAGCAAATGGTTAATGACGTAGACCACAAGCAAAAGTACAGTAGAACAATTAAGAGTCCAAGGTTCTTTATAAATAGAGATCTTACTAGCTGCTTAACCAAGCACTTCCCGAGGAAATCTTCTCATATGCTCTTCTTTCTTCCATGTTTCTAGCCATGGCTCCCAAATTCTCCTCCTTATTTCAACTAAATAATAAGTTTATAGTCTTATTAGGGTTATTTTCACTTTTTATGGGCATTACATCTGCTCAGTTGTCCTCAAACTTTTACAGCAGAACATGCCCTCGAGCACTTTCCATAATCCAACCAATAGTTAATGCTGCCGTGGCAAATGATTCTCGCATGGGAGCATCCTTGCTTCGTCTCCAGTTCCATGATTGCTTTGTTGATGCAAGTTTCCACCTCCATCACTTTTGTTTAAAGCCGCATTTGACTTCACTTTCTCCATAACTTCTCAATTTTTTTTTTTTTATCTTTTCCATGTGTCATGTATAGCTTTCTTAGAAAGTCATTAACCTGTAGACAACCACAGTGCTTTTCTACATCCACAATTTCAAGGAAGGCACAGAAAATATTACAAATATAATTTAAAATATATCCACTAATAATCTTGTTGTGATTCAAACATTAAAACCAGCTATAACAAGCCTGAAACACTGTTTATAAATAGGTACTTTAGCACAAGAATAGCTTTTGACAATAACAAGACACATCAATCGTAATAGATACAACACTATATAATAATTCTAAATTAATCTTATAACACAGCATATGACTCTTATTTTTTCATGGGCATAGCCTAGCGCACTTGTATATGGTCCTAAATATTTATGCAGAAGTTTTTTCAAGGAAAAAAGGTTAGAAATATGATTTTTTTTTTTTTTTTTGGAAAGCGAAATTTAACAAGCTTGTGTAAATGTTCAGGGATGTGATGGTTCCGTACTGTTGGACGACACAGCAAATTTCACCGGAGAAAAAACGGCATTACCAAACTTCCAATCACTCAGAGGATTTGATGTAATTGATAATATTAAAGCTGCGCTCGAGAAGGCCTGCCCCGGTGTTGTTTCTTGTGCTGACATCGTAGTTGCTGCTGCTCAATACGGTGTTCTTGCTGTAAGAAAATAAAATAAAGTTTTTCTTTCATTAATTTCCTTAATTTTATTTATATTTTTCATTAACATAAATTAGCACTAATTAATGTTATACATGGTATTCTTTTTTCTTAATTTATTATCCTAATTCCTTTAGTTAGGCGGACCTTCATGGAATTTCCTTCTGGGTAGAAGAGATTCAACCACAGCAAACTTAACTGCCGCCAATATGGACATTCCTTCCCCATTTTTGAATCTCTCCGGTCTCATCGCTTCCTTCGCTAATAAGGGTTTCACTACTCAAGAAATGGTGACTCTTTCAGGTGCGCTCCATCTTACTATTGGTTTTTCTAATAATAGGACTATTGTGAACTTTTGGCTCGACTATTTTCACTAACGTGCTAGATTTATATCAATAGACAGATTTAAACCTGCATTTTCAGTATTTTGCATTAGTACTCTTTACCACTCGAGACTAACCCCAACCGATTCCATCTTGAATTACTATTTTGCTTTTCTACATTCCTCATACACAATATGGATGTTTAGTGTTAACAACTCCTGAATTAATTGAATCCTCGATCAGGTGCTCACACAATTGGCCAAGCTAGGTGCATTCTTTTCCGCAACCGAATCTATAATGAGACCAACATCAATCCTATCTTTGCTGCAATACGGAGGACAACCTGTACTACGGACACAGCAACGGACAACAATCTTGCTCCCCTAGATATCACAACTCCTATTATTTTTGACAATAAATACTACTCGAATTTGTTGCTCCAAGAGGGACTACTGCATTCCGATCAGCAGCTTTTCAATGCTACAGGAGGGTCAACGAACTCCCAAGTTCTAGGTTATACCTTGAATCCGATAGCTTTCAGGACGGATTTCGCGAGTGCCATGGTGAAGATGGGGAACCTCAGCGTACTCACGGGCACAAATGGGCAAATTAGGCTGAACTGCAGGAAAGTGAATTCTTAATTTCAGTTACCATTTGGTGGCAGTGAGTTGTGAGCGCGCGCCATTTTAATTACTAGAATAAGGCAGTATGTACGTTCGTGGATTAATATCAATGTACCCACATTAAGATGAGTGTGTGCGGCTGTATCACACTAAAAGAAATTAGCGCCTATATATGATAATGAATAATTGCAACTAAATTGCTTTTCAATCCTTAATTTTATAACTATCTAGGATTAACAGGTAACAGTTTGTTCAAACTGTGTTATAAAATGCATTCCCCCTATTGTGACTTATTGGTAGTCACTGCAGTCCAAAAGGACTGCCAGTGGAATGCACCCCAATCAGTGGTCGAATCTTGTCAAAGAGTAAAATACTAATTTCTAACTTCTAACTCATAACCATTGTTAAAAAAAAAAAAAAAATTGTATTATAAAATAATGTTTAATAAAAGGTTTTTATTTAATTGTTTAATAACAACAATTAGTTGTTAGAGCTCAATCTCTTCGGGTATTGAAAAAATTCTCTAAAATAATTTTTGTTCCAAACTGATATCAAATTGACAATTTTAAATTTATAATATAATAAATTTACCCATAAAATAATTAAGTATAAAATCTAAGCTAAAGGCAGCTAAGTCATAATTAAAAATTAATAAATAAAGAAAAATTTGTGATTTTGGTCTTCTATTTAAAATAAAAATTAATTTCTTTACTAAAAAAATAACAAAACAATATTTCATTTGTAATTACATTACAATAACAATAACAAATAATAAAAATAATAAACTTTTTTAGTGTTAAGAAAAAACAATTAATTACATTTTGAATTTTTTCTTATATATGCATCATTTATCGCTAATCAGCAACAGCTAATTATTACTATACAAAGTCTGTGGGAGGTGAGGCGAGCGCTGCTGTTATTCTTGCTTGGAGGTGGACATTTCATGTGCGTATTGAGGAATGATTTAATACTTCGCAACAGACGGTGGGTGATGCCCGAAATATATAGTTTTTTTAACCTTAAACTGTACGATAAAAAATATTAAAATAGTTGAATTAACATAAACGAGGTCTTTTGGGTGGATCAAAGGGAAGAAGAGCAGTGCTAGGGGCACTCGCTTTCTGCACTCTCCGGCCAACACTTCCCCTTTCATTGGGCCACGTGAGCTTCTTTATAGCCTTCAGCGCAATCTCTGCGCAACCAAAATAACGTGGCCCAATAAAAGAGAAAGTGTCGACCGGAGAGTGCAGAAAGCGAGTGCCCCTAGCATTGCTTAAGGGAAGAATCAGCGGGTAGCCTATGATTTTGCTATCTGGCGCCAGGTTCCAGTACTTCTTTTTTTTTTTTTTCAACAGG